TCCTGCATACATATCTTTAATGATTTGAATATAAGCATTATTAACTCTTTTCCTTTCAAGAACTCTCCATAGCACTTCTCTTGGAACTTTATCATATGCTTTTTCTAAATCAATAAATATCATATGTAGATCCTCCTTATTTTCTCTATATTTCTCCATCAATCCTCTTAATAAATGAATGACTTCCATAGTCGACCTACCCGACATGAACCCAAATTGATTTTGAGAGAAATTAGCATCATGCCGCAACCTATGCTCCATAACTCACTCCCATAGTTTTAAAGTATGACACATTAACTTAATTCCTCTATAATTCGCACAATCTTGTGCATCACCTTTATTCTTGAAAATAGAAATTAACACACTCATTATCCACTCATCAGGCATTTTTTTAGTCTTCAAAACAGTAATAAAAAGTTTAGTAAGCCAAGAAATTCCTTCATCTCTTAAGCATTTCCACATCTCAATTGAAATATCATCAGGTCCAATAACTTTTCCACCCTTCATTTTCTTTAAAGCCTCTAATTTCGGTTTTACTAGTATGCCGATTAAAACAAAAATCTTTATTTTCATTTAGGGTGCTAAGGTCCCTACAGTCAATCGTATTTTCACAATCTTCATTAGAAAGTTTAGCAAAATATCTCATCCACCTTTGTTGAATATCATCTTCTAAGAAAAGTATTTTTTTATATTCATCCTTAAAACACTTCACTTGAACTAAATCCTTACTACTCCTATCTCTTTGTTTGACTAACTTATACATATATCTTTCTCCCTCCTTAGTATCTAATCTATTATATAAATCACTAAAAGCTAAGGTCTTTGCATAGCATATTGTTTTCCTAGATTCCTTACGAGCCTCTTTATATCTTTCCCAAATATCATAAATTTTACAATTAAACCAAATTTTATAACATATCTTTTTATTTTTAATCTTTTCTTGCACATTTGGATTCCATCACTAATTATTTTTACTATTAGTAGATTTTCCCTTTGAAACTTCAAGCACATCTTTTGCAATATTCTTAATATCACTAGCAACTTTTTTTCACATAACATTATCACAGACAAAATCTTAAGACCTAAATCTTACTCTCAAAAATATTTTGTTAATGTTCTTTAAATACCCCCATCTAATACTAGAAAATCGTTTTACTTTATTTTTTTATTTTCTGTCCCTTTATCTTAATGTTCAAAACTAATAAACGATATTGGATACATAAATTTTCACTCAGAATAACTTTACAATCTTTGCAATCTAAACAATCTAATTTTCTTATAACAAAATAGTCAATCTGTGTTGTACTATATTTATTTTTATAAGTGATGAGATGCTCATTCCTTTTCTTAAATAAGATATTAGCAATTAAAAATCATAAGTTACACAAAAATCTAATATGATCTTGCCAACTTCATTTGCCGTTCCAAACTCATGGCCACCATGAATACTCAAGATATGGAGATTTTGGAGGGAACATAAAAAATGCCTCCCCTAGGGCTTATTCATAGGGAGGAGACAAGTAGATGGTATGTGGAGAGGTATGAGGGGTTAGGTTTGAGTGGAGGGGTGATGAATTTGAAAGAAAAGGAACTAAATTTAAAAGGCAAGGACTTCATTATGATCGAAGAGATGTCGAATTTGAAAGGAGAATGGTTGAGTATGATTGAAGCGGTGTTGAATTTGAAGGAGGAAGGTGGGCTTGTGATAAAAGGGTTGGGTGCGAGCGGAGGAGGGATGATTGACACAATTGGGGGGAACCACCCCTTTGGCAAATGGAAAATTTTGGAGGAAATAGGGTTAATGAAGGAGATCTTAGAGTGTGGAAATTGAAGATGCATATTTTTTAGGGAGAAAATACGCACGGGTAGATCTACAAAATAGAAAGATATTTCGCTGTCAACGACTTGACGGAGGCTTGATGGAGGAGGAGAGACTAACTGATGGGGACATCAAATCATCATGGAGAGTTTATCAGAGACGCGGCCGTCGATCTACGGCCACGATCGAGTCTTTATATTTTTGAGTCGTTGATGTATTTTATTTTCATGTAGCTTGTTATTTGCTTATGTGGCATTTATGAGTCGTTGTATTTTTATTTTATTTTATTTAGTTGCTTATGTGCTTTCTTTCCCGTTGTACCCCTCTTGTGGGAGTTATCGTATGTGAGCCCAAAGGGCGTTTGTGTCTTTTGTTTCGAGTCATGTTGTAGGAGGCTATTTAAAGCCCCATTTTTTTCTATGATGGCTAATGAATGATTATTATGAAAATTTTCCTGCACTTGTTTTCTTGGAGCTATTGAGAGCTTGAGAGAAAGAGAGAGTTAGAGATCTTGGTGGAGCCTAGGAGAGGCCACCCGTCGTACCCAACAGTCACCACCACCGGTGGCTCTTGGTTTCCCTACCTTCATTGCCGGCCTCCCTCCACTCGAACTCTTTCTTCACAAGGCCGCCGGCCACCACTCCACAACCCGCCGGCCACCTCTCCGTCATCCCTCCCTTGGAGTTTCCTAATTAAGGCTTGGGTGAATTTAGGAAGAATTTGAAATTCAAATTCATTTGTTTGAAATTCAAATAAACTTTCCTAATTCACCAATTCTATTTTAGGAAACTTTTTGAATTCATGCCTAAATAAATTTTCATTAAGAAAGGATTGAATTACATCTTTCCAATCTTATGAATTTAAATTAGGAAGCCTTGATTTGCTCTCATCAATTCCCCTCATTCATGCTTGCCACCGACCCCATAGCTCTCCCCCATTAATTCCTTTTTCCAAATATTTCCTAAATTCAATTCTGACACAGGAAGGAAATCAAAACCCATATTTCCCTCCTACCCGAAATTGTCATCTCCCTAATTCCTCAATTACTTTCCTAATCCAGGAGATTAATTCTGGAAAGCAAAACCCCCGCCCCTCCTCTACCCGTTGCCTCCCTCCCTGTTTTCCCATTGCGTTTTTTTTTCTTTCTTGCCGCCTCCCTCCACTTTCCAACTTTCTCCCCTCTCATGAAACCCTATAGTGAGATCTTGGCTTAAACAATTCCCAAATAGTTCCACTCTCACATTTAGAAAATCTGAGATTTTCTTCTCAGATTTTGGCTAGAAAATCTGAGAACTTTCTCAGATTTTGGAAGGACTTGGATTACTTCTACAAGCATCCTATGGCGAGAACATCGTTCTTGGACCTTGGATATTCGTCATGAGTAGTTGCTAACGTGGAGGATCGCCACGTCTCCTTGAGCAAAGGTTTTTCCTTCTTACACTTGCATTCAAAGTCTTCTAAATCTAAGTTCTCGTTTGGTTAGATTGTATTCGCGAAAGCCTACTCCGAATGCTCTTGCTAAGCCTAGTGAATCATAGGAATTGAGTGCGCTTTCTATGCATCCTAGATCTCATTGTTAGATTAGGGATTACTTTGAAAGCTACTATTCTGTGTTGTTATTATTTTCTTAATTATTCTTGAATGTTCAAAATTTGGCGCATGTAATTTAGCCTATGCAATATTAACTTCCTCTTTGTTTGATTCGCCGTGAATAATTGCTAGTAATTTTAATCCGAATTTATTCTAATTGACGAGTTGTGCAAAGCCTAAATGAATCCATAAGCATCACATCTAAGTAGTCCTGCATCACTAACTTTGGAAGGGAAGGTTTTGGCTTTGTACCAGTGGAGGGACCTACGACGACCCATATGAAGTTGGATGGAGTTCAAGGATTGTTTGGTAGAATGTTTCTGAAGTAGCAAGGGAGGAGACTTGTACGAGCAGTTCTTCGCCTTTACAAAGGATGGTACATTGAATCTACAAACAATAACAACAACACCAAGCCTTTATCCCACTAAATGGGATCGGCTACATGAATCTTTTATCTCCATTGTGTCATATTAAACAAACAACATAATAAGAAAATTGATCATGTTCTTAACAGTGACTTCCTTGTATGCAACCTCTTCAACCTATTTAAAAAAAAAAAGTCAGTTGTTGCTAAGATGAAGAGTTGTCCAGTTGACGATGGTGGATTGATCAGACCCATTATATCTGTATCCCAGCATTCAAACGGCCAAGGTGCGATTGTAGAGTGTAACATATTTGGTGGTTGATATAGTGTATTACAATGTATTTGATATTTGTGGCAACTCTTGGCATATTCGATATAATCTTTTATCCTTAATGGCTAATAGTAGCTCATTCTCTTAATTTTGATGGACATTTAAGGCCTAATTTGTGTTATAAAGTCATTTATGATTTTCAGCTATAACTTTACCAGCTTCTTATGTCCCTAAGCATCAAAATCACATTTGGTCAAAGGATCTATCGTAAAGAGTCTTGTTGATAAATGCATACCGCAACATTCTTTTTTCAATCTATACAACTAACAATTTTTTTATCAGTAGCTTGTCTTCTTTTAAGTAGTTGACGAAAAGTTGTTTACAATCATCTTGATCTTTTATCATTAAGGCATCCTGTCATGATTCTAAGGCTCCTTCTGACTTAAGCTTTTCTTGAGTAGTATGAGGCTTGCCATTCGGCACTCCGAAAGAATTTGTCATGGAGCTTAAGGATAAACAAAAGTTGTATCTCCAGGGCTTGAATTCTACCACCACTCTTATGGTCGGGTTTGCGAGAAGACAAGCTGCAACACTCAATGAGTGTGGACTCCAATTGATACATACTCATCATTCATATTCGTCATTTCATTGACCAATTTTACTAGGGACTCCAATTTACTCGAATTTAATTGATTATTGCATTATCATTTGGGCTTCAATTCTCATATTTACTAGTTTGCACATAATGAAAGCAATTTTTTTGCATATTTAGTGGTCTATCATCTACATACCCTAGTTTACCTTGAATGATACACTTTTATTGCACCATACAGTTGTATTAAAAGATCTTAACTCTAAACCGTCCTGCATTAGCAGTCCACATCCACAATAAATGTCGCAGCATCTTCAACTAAGGCTTAATTTGCACACTGCTGTTAAAAATCAAAAGCAGCTACCTGACAAAGTATACATCGGTTGAAGTGCAAGGTTGCCAGTGACACCAAAAGAACCCAAGTGCGCTCTTAGTTTCTGTTCAGGTACTCCCTGCAACAGGCACGATTAGATCAAACTCCAACGCATATAAGCAGGTTTAGTGGGTTTTTTTTAATCTTTTTCGGCAATGAGATCCATAAAAAAACTAGCAGGTTTCCTATTATCTCGAACAAAAAGTCTGTTAAAATGAGATTTTGCGAAAGACAACCATGTTCCACGTCCAGATCACATTTTGTGATATGCAATTGTGAAATAAAGAAGAAAGTGAGAGTATTCTGCACTTACAGGGTAACAGCGCATCATATACAATAGAGGATTTGAAGATAAATCAAGACCATCAACATGATGTTGACTGAACACAGCCATTCGAACCTACATTAAAAAGAAAATGGAGATTTTATGCTTCACAGTAATGGAAAATGGAACAGCAATGATATTTTCCCAGGCTGATAATTCCATTTCAAAATTGTGAGCAAGATCCTAGAACGGCAAGTGCAACCTAAATATAAGGAGGCATATTTTGTTTAGTAAGATGGGTAAAAATGAATGTTATTATCAGTGCAAAAAACCCAAGTATAATAACGCTACAAGAGTGCAACCAGAATATTCAGAAAGGTGAATGTACTTGGCATGATTGTCGTTTGCACACAGCCTAAGCTATTGTAGTATAGCAGATATAACTGATATTTGTGTAACGAAGTTTTTGAAGTATTTAGGGAGCCATAAAATGATGCAAGAGGGCCCCATGCCAACATCTTTTCAACTTTTCCCCGTACTATAAGGCTATGCCTTCAAAATTACCATAACCGAAAGCAGGACAGAGCAAACAAGCAGCAGGTCAAAGAGTTCAGTTAGGGTACTGTAGCACCGACAGCACCGCAGCAGCAGTACTGTAGCAGGTAAGAAAAAAATAAAGAAAAGAAGAGAATTGAAGGAAGAGGAAGCAAGGATTTTGGGTAAGAATCCATTTTCATTAATTTTTCCCTATGAAATTTTTATGATTTCAGATTGTTTGTCTATAAGATTAGGATGAGGAGAAAATTATTTGAGGTAAAATCTTATTTTAAGATTTTTATTATAAATAGGATTGCTAAATTAGGAATATTATAATTTGCAAAAATTATGACTTATTTAGGTTATTTATGAAGGGAAAAAAGGTCTAGATGTCATAAGGGGACAAATCATCATGTGAACCCAAAGAACGAGATGAGATATTCAATCTCTAGTACAGGAAGAGTGTATTTCGTAGGACTAATTTTATAGAATTTCTTCATATTGAGCATAGGAAAATAATTTCAGCAACAATTGAAATTATAAGCTTATAATTATATGTTCACAAAAATGTATCTCATATGTATTATATTCCAGAAAATGAATTAATTAAAGCAAATTAAATATTTCATGTTAATTATTTCCTGTCATATTGTATTCTTGGCACTTATCAGCATATTTTTATTGTTATCATGTACACATTCACGTTCAAAATGCAATACGATTGATGGTAAAATTTTGTGAAAAGTCATGTTATGGGGAATAGGCCGGCAAACAATGATGACCTGTGCAAATGAGGCTAAAAACCTGATGAGATAAGCCTTAGCAGAGACCGTACTAGAGGTACCTGACTCTAAAAGTTAGTACTTTGGAATCCAACCTTGAAGTGAGGAGCAATAATTAAATGGTTAGTTGACGAGCTAGTTGACGATATATTATAAATGTGTCAAAGCCTATAGTCATCATATGACTTTTCTAAAATAAAAAAATAAAAAATAAAAATCATATGACTTTTCTAAAACTGTGAACAAGAATGAAACAAGAAATAAAAAAGGAGAAAAAATAAATATTTCATATGGTAAACAAATAACCTTCCATTGATCATTTGTTAAGTAAGAGATAACAATTTATTTATCGTTCACATACACGTGTTTGCTGCCCACAATATTTTCTTCTACAACGTTTCTCCTTTAAACTAAGCCACAACATTTTTTCAACATATAACTCTCATAATAGCTTAAAATACTAGCATCCATATTAATTTCTTTTTATTCTTCTATGTTGAATCATGTACTATAATTGTTTATCTCACATACCATTTAGCGCACCAGTTGTTATATATGTTATTACAGAAAAGAGGAAGTAACCAACAGAGCTTTAGGCAGGTGATCGATTGTACCTTGTACATAATACGTTGGGTGTACAATTTTTTAGAGTAGATAGAAGGCAAGATTTTTTGGATACGTAAAATTTTATTTAGTAAAGCTCTATATTTTGCATTAATGAATATTGTCCATGCTTTCAATTATTTAATTATGATATATAATGTAATAATTGGAGTACAGTATATATTTGGTGATACTCTTAACAGATTAATTTTCTATTCACTCAATCTTGAAGAGTGTAATTCAGGATGGATGTTGGTATAGTATGTATCTGATTGGATTATCAGACTTTATTACATCTTAGGTTGGCTAAGGGGCTCAAAATAGGGCTCGACATTGATGCCTCTAACAGTGGTAACTAGCAGTGGTAATAGATCAACCCACCTGGGACAATGTACAGTTGGACTCATCGCGATCATTAGAATTCCAACTTAACAATATTTAAACTGAAACTATTCAAAAGACTTATTTGTGCATATCATAGTTGGGATAAGATGATTTGTTCTATTTGATAGGTAATAAATTTACCAAACTAGCTTACTAATGAACAAAAATTTAAACATGACTACAAATTAAATGAGAAAAATATAGGTATCTGTCATACCAAGAAAAATAAAATCAAAAAAATTACTTTGCTTCCAGCTAAACAGTTTCACGTAAATTGAATAAATTGTCCTTATATTACTCTCAGTTCTTAAAATGCATCATTATAGTTAACTGGAACTAAACAAGCCCTAAGAAATTTTACATAAGACTGAAAAGGCTTATTGAGAGTAGAATGCACCTAGAAATGTTCACAATGCTCTGTCCAAAACACTCAATAAATGCAATTGAAAAGGAAATATCAACAGCCTAGCTAGTTAAGAAGTCCCATCTATAGCATTCTTAAGACGGTAAGAAAAACTGTACGGTACCAAAATGGTTCATCAACTAGTCATTTTAGTTCCACATTATATAAAAGGTCCGATTTGATCCCTAAATTCTTTAAATATGAGCCAAAATAGTCCCGCATTTAAAATTGAGGGATGAATTTAACAATACTATTATGGGTATAGATGAGAATATTGTGGCATAGATATAGGGTATGTTGGGAATTTTATTTTTGTTGTTAATAACTTCTTATTTTTCATTGGAATCTCTCACTAGATACCCTAGGCAACACATGTAGAACCCCTAGTGCATAACCGAAACAGAGAAGTTGAAGCAAGACAGGACAAGCACAAGCTGCAGTGAAGTCACGACATTAGGTTCACAGGCAAAGTCATGCTGTGACGACTAGCCACAAGCAAACGGAATTAGGTCAATGAGTTGAGTAGCTTGCACGAGATGACTAGATGATGGGCCACAGAAGAATGGGAGACAATTAAACATCCTAAATAAATAGTGACAAACACGACAGAATGAACAATGAAAGACATATTTGGTTCTTTATAAAAAACACTTTTAATAAAATTAATATAAAAATTTTTAAACTTCAATCTTCTAAAATGAAAAAAATTAACTCAATATATTTTATTATAATAAACTAAGATAAAAATATCAAGCAAAATTATTTATTACAAAAAATCATCTCACTCCACAACCTGCATAATCGTAATAAACTCTAGTTGTATGCCAAACCAACTATTGTATATAATAAAATAAGTAGTAATTTAGATCTTATAAAAAATATCAAGAATATTTATATTCCTAAAATACCCTCATTTTTAATACCATTAATTAATTGTAATTTCATTTTTTGTTAATTTTAACAACGGAATCGGTTTAGCTCCAATTGAAGGAGTTCACAAAACAAAAATCAGACATTTTATATAGTAAGAGGCTAAAATGAGACCCCACAAATATTCAGGGGGCCATTTTGATCATTTTCCCAAGAAAATTTGTTGAGTGGCTGAATTTGTTTTATGTCAATCACTGACAATATAAATAATGCAAAGAAGAATCCATTTCAACAGTTCAATGCATAATTTGAGGCATCCTTAAGAAGCTGAAAAAGGAAAGCATTTCATTACTGCACATCATGAAACAATAAAAATATTAAGACAACAAAAAAATTGTTTGCCATGCACATAAAAGGAAGAGAATCCATAGAAAACCTTCGCTGAACGAAAAACAGTTCCAGAAGTCGGTTGAAGTTCTCCAGCTATTAGTTTGAGTATAGTTGACTTGCCGATGCCATTTGGGCCAACCACTGCATTCAACTTGAACATCTCAATTTGGTAGCAGCAGAACAGATGTATACACAAAAGAGTGGCAAGGAAGATATATAATCAAGTTAATAACATAGAAGTAAGCAGTAGTGTCTGACTAATGCAGAGATTCAACAATGTTAAGTAGCAGCATCCTCTAAACATGATTAGGTTAGGCATGTTTATTCCAATAGTAAAAAGCTATGATGTATTCCAGGCAATCACATTATAATACCTCTTCTGCGCATCGTCTATAATATAAGAAAGATGTCCAGAAAATGATGACACCAATTCATATAACTATCACAAAAAACATAAAAACGAAGAAAATCAAAAGAGCATAACAGCACACGACGACAAAAAATTCTTCTATTAAGGGAAACATGCAAGAAAGGAAAGAAAATAAACAATAGATTATTTCGAATCCAGCTAATCTCTCGTCCATAAAGAGGTTAAGATCTTGGTTCTTCATTCAGTTAGTTGGAAATGGCCATGAGTGCGTGTATTATACCATTGTACTAAACTTAAGATGCGGCAGGAAAAAGATTACCAAGTTACAAGGTATTTTAATTGAATGAGAGGAAAAAAATAACCCTTACTTGCTATGCGGCTGTCCAGGTCTATGCCAAAATTCAAATTCTTGAACAAGGTAGGTCCTCCTGGATAACTAAATGACGCATCACTGCAGCCACATAATAAGAAGATTCTTTTAAATGAGCATACTAACGATTACAAGCATAAGATTATACTTTATAGAAACGAACATATAGGAAGTATTAAAAATAATTAAAAATCGAAAAACAGTGAGATGCTTTCAAATCATTTATTTACTAGAGTATGAAGCAGATATATAAGCCGCCTCCACCTGACCACTGCTAGCATTTTCTACAGTGTAAGTATCAATGTGAAGCAATACAACTATAAACTGTAATTGACCGCTGAGTTTGTTATTAAAAAACTCAAATCATTAAATTGAAATTTTCAAGTAAATGCCCTATTGATTAGGTGGCTGATTGAGAAGTTTTCGTGTGCAGAAGAGAGTCAACTGAAAATGGATAAAAATTGTTTTATAATATGTTTAGACTAAAAATTATTTTAGTGGCTATTCAGTTACATTTTGATATCTAGTCTATTGAGTAATTATAATTATTGAAACAACTGTGATATACATTAGACCGTTTGTTCTCACCTCATTAATTCAATATTCCGGGCAGGTTGGTGACACCATTAATGTAGGATTTGAACATAAGCAATACAACTAGATATTTTTGTACAAAGTTTTGAAAATATTATTTTTTAGGAAGAGCTAAGCGAAACAATTTTAAAAAATTTGACATCAACAAACCCAAAAGTTATTCTATTAATCAAATATGTGGAAGTTAGAGTGGTCCTCCAATACCGGAATTAGATTTTAGAATAGCACGAGCTATTTCAAGGCGTTTATTTTTCCTTTATCTCAACTAATTTTGTTGAGGGTATCAATGCAAGAGGATTGTTGAGTCTCAATGAAAAGGGACTGCAAATTATGGCAGGATAACTAGAGCAACAGAAGTGGTTTTCAGTTATGCTCTAGGTATGAATTTGATTTTTTTCTGCCGCAGTTCGCACTTTATGTTGCTCTAGTTTTTTATAATAAAAAATATAGAGAGAGGGAAACAGGAAATGCAAACTAGGGCTGAAAATAATCAAAGTCATAGCTAGAGCAAAACTGAAAACCACAAGTGACACAAAGCCCTTACTACTATGGTACCCGCATGAAGGAGCCCACATAAAAAACTCTTTAAGGTACCCTTCAAATTTCTTCATTGCCCAATGAAGGTATAACAAAACTTCATTTTTTATGTACATTCACAGTAACAATTGTACTCCAATGATAAATTAAAGCGTCCTCAAACATCAATCACAAGTTCGCTCATTAAAATCCCATTCCCCTCAGCCCAGTGTAGTCACTGAAAAAGTTTGAATTCAATAGGTTTTGAAAGAATTTACCATAGGTTTCAGGACAAAAGGAAATAAAAATTTAATTTTTTTTAATTCCAAGCAATATGTACAGCAACAAAGAAAGAGCAAAAATAACAAGAGAATTTTAAGTATTGCATTACTTCGGGTTCACTATTAAAATAATAAAAAAAATTGAAATAGTTAAACTTCAGCGGAAAAATAAGATACCTGAAACTTATAATTGGTAGACCAGGTCGATCATCTGGTGTTGGGAACTCAAATTTATAGCTGCAATAGCAAACATTAACAATGTGATTAGAAGCATTAAAGAAATAAAAAGTAAAAACAGTGTCATTTAAAAGAAGAAAGCCAGAAAGTCCATTTTATTTTTCTTAGTAGATCAAAATGTATTAATATCAAAAGAGAGAATACTCTGGGTCATTAATGACTTGATCCACATGACCCATTCGATCCAATGCCTGAAACATCCATAGTATGAATTATAAATCAATGTCATCAAGATTTTTTTATGGAAAAAAAACAAAACATAAGCATAGAGAACTGCTAATCTAGCCAAATTCACAGGCTGATTTTTCAGACAAAGACAATTGACAGAGCTATTTCATGCGGCTGCAATGTCAAATCACAGGGGAGAGAGTATTATAAATCAGTCAGCCAATCAGTTATAAACCAGGATCTAAACAAACAAACAAAATATTTCAATTACATGTTAAGATGTCTTTAATAGCTACAGCATACACCAAAAATAGGACCAGCCTCTGTGAACTCAGTATTGATAAGAAATTAGTTCAGTACCTTCATTTGCATTCATAATTCAAAGCTATCAAACTATATGAATTATTATGAATCAAGTAAACTGGTAGGATGGAGGCAAAAAAAGGATTATAACTCTATAGCATCATAATAAAATAAAAAATCTGGAAAACAAAACCTTAATTCTGGACTGCACAAGTGATGCACGCTTTGCATTATAACGGAACTTGTCAATAAATGCCTGCAAATAAAAGTTTAGGTTAGAGAAAATATCGGATAGACAGCTTACAAGTAAAAAAGAACATGTAAATATAGCACCCTTAAAGAGAAATTATTTTCACAAATCAACGAGCACTCAAACAATGAGAAAAGTAAATAGTATTATTTATTTGTTCTGGCTAGCTACGTTTTTTCAAACGGCATCCTTCCTGCAGATACAATTATTACTTGCAAATTCTAACATTAGAATTTGGACCAATGCATCCCAACTAAATTTCATTATCAACAGAAATGCTTGCCTGAATATCAGTGTCCTACAAAGGACGATCTTCTACATCAATTTCAATGATACTAAAACATACTTCTATGATGACCAATTCCTCCTTCATAGAATTTCATCCTGAACTTTTACTTCAATACCTACCATTTTTAAGGTCTCTTCCCATTCTAAAATAACATACTAAGGAATCTGAATTAAGTCACACAAGAACTTTCAGAATTAATATTGTTAGGTAGTGACAACTTAATATAGAGAAAAACGTATAACATTTACTCGAGCTTTAATGAGGACCAAGTTTCAATAATATATATCCAAGTATAGCATCAAAAAAAAAAAATCAAAGTTGCCAGTGCCAAGCAAGATAAGAAAATTTTAGACCTGCATATGAGCCCTGGCCTTTTCATTAGTCTCAAATGCCTTCTGTTGATTTTTGATCTGCTCCTCCCTAGTCCTCTCAAATGTGTCATAGTCTCCTTTGTATGTAATCAAGGTTTGCCCATGCAAATGGAGGATATCCGTAACTACCTAAAGATATATAATACAAAAACAATGTGGAGTAAGACATTTTTACCAAGTATATTCTTATTAGTGCAAACAACAGTAAGTGAATTTTAAGTCCATATAAACTGAGAATTGATAAGCATATACCGTATTTAAAAACTCTCTGGCATGAGAAACTACAATAAATGTCTTTGGCCATTTCGTAAGGTACGTCTCCAGCCACAATACAGCATGAAGGTCCAGATGGTTCTGCAAAGAAGTTAATTTTGTTTAATCACCTTCAGCAGATTTGAACGAGGCGACTTACTACAATACAGTACCGTAGGTTCATCAAGCAATAGCAAATCAGGCTCAATAAATAAGGCACGTGCGAGGGCTATGCGCATACGCCATCCACCAGAAAAAGCTTTTGTGGGTCGTTTCTGCATTTCTGTAGTGAAGCTAAGGCCCTGAAATTTTTTCACAGGCTAGACTATAAAATAGAAATTGAAAATAACCAAAAATGACAAAAAGAATTACAAGGCACTAATCAAGAATCACTCAACAATACAAGATTTTTAGAATGTAAAATAGCAGGGAACCAGAATCAAATTCAAAGAGATGTATAAATTACTTAAATTAAAAATAGGTCACATATACAACATGAGCACAGCAGTTGAAGGGTCAAAAATAGCCAAAGAAAATACTCCTAGTGCCTCCCATGGGCCATTTGGCATATTAAATATATGTTACAATGGCTTTAGCATATTTAAAAACAACGTGAAGCCAAGAATAATAATATAAATTAAAACAATACGAAATGTTAAATAAACAATATCTCAAAAATAGTTAATATAAATTAATTTACTTCAAGTATTGATTAAATATTATTAATTTTAGTCAGAAGATAATAGAATAGGAGTTGAATTGAAACAACTATAAAAATATGGCAAGTCATTAGTTATAAATGCAAATATTTGAAATTAATAAATAATATTAGATTTAAAAGAGCAAAAAAACATTTGAACTATGGAACTTTTGTTTAAATAGTTGAATTGTTGAAGAATTGAACGCATGGTATGGAAGGCAGGAAATGGCAGATTGCTAATTGGGCAGTTAGAGGACAGCAGAAATTGGAATCAAAGTGTGGATAGGAAAAAAAAGGGAAGATTGTGTTGGACTAAAGCAGCGGAAAGGTTTAAATGACTACAGATGGCAAATGATTGGACCACCAACAAAAAAATTAAAAGAGATGGGCTGGATGGTGCAAGGAAGAAAGAAAAGGTTGGTTTGATGTAGGAAGCTAAAAAAAAAATAGAAGTGCATTATGAGGCCTTTATATGAAGAATAGTATTCTAATTATATGTTCCTATTGTTGTACAGTTTCCTAGAGTGTGTAAGCAGAATCGTGTATATAAATGACCATCTAACAGTCGAATAAATGTGTGGGAGAACAATTCCATTAAAAAGTTTTATAATTGCATCAAAGACGGTTAGGGTACAATTTTTCAGCGTTCTTCTAGAGTTCTTGTCACCTCCAGCCTCTACAGAAAGATTGATGAGGTCACCATTTTGGCCAACAAAAGTATTGTTGGTTGGTGTGTTTGTTCATTTTTCAGAGGTTTGCTAGCTAACACATAAAGAGCTCTAACAAATCTCTCTTCATCTCTTCGATGATTATCATTATCAGCTCTCCCTCTCCAACTGTAAGTTATGCCTATCTCAAAGGAAATGATGTAGAATAAATGTAACCGCATCACAACAGCATCATTACTCTAGATGTGATGTAAGCAAAAAATATAGGGAGCCTATATTTTTTGCTTAACAAAAAAGGACGACGGACTTCTAACGACGAAATTGAGGAGGAGAAAAGAGACGAGAACAATAGGGAAGAACAAACTCTTACATTTCAATTTTAAAACCAAATAAAAAAAACTATGACGACGACTTACAAACAACACGACAGACATTACTCTAGATGTCAAGCTATTTAGATGTTCAATAAATATCTTATTTTAACATAGTCATGCAAACTGCAAGTTATTACAATTTTATATACCTTCAATTACTGAAATAGTTTATTTAATTTCTTAAATTTAATGAAATTTATCAGTAATTATAAGATTTTTGTTACTTCAAAATATTGTTGGATTTTTTTCAAGTATACCTAACCGCATCATGAAGATTAAAATTAAGGATTGATTGTCTTATAAATAGACCCTAAAATCTTGTTCACCCTTGATTTTAGGCCGGACTACAATCTGACTCAGGCGTGCAATCAGGCCGAGAGGCGGGCAGCATGTGTGTGGGCAAGCAGGACAAGGACCGCACGGAGGATGGGACACGGGATCGGATCATGATTGCAAGTTTGGAGACCGAGCATGGGCGAGATGGAGACAAGATCTAGACTGTCCTTGTGTTAGTTTCTCTCCTCTTTTTTTTTTCTTTCGACTTTTTTGTAAAGCTGCAGGGCCGTTTCATGAAACGAGGCATCTTCTCTGTTATTTGTTATATATATATATATATATATTTTGCTTGCAAACTATATAAGATAACACACACCACTAGCTCTCAAACCCCACACCCTCCATTTTTACTCGATACCCAAGCACTCCCTTTATATTGGTAATATTTTTTATCTTTAAATTTTCTCTCTAATTAATAAACCACATAACTGACAATTCTCACTCTACTCGCACTACAGCGCACAACCTATATCTCCCTCTAAACCACAGAAACCAAAGCCTCCTTTTTTTTCTTAACCCACCACCCCTTCCCTCCCTCCCTCATCTTTCTACCCTCTTTCTCTTAGAAACCCTAATACACATGATGTTGCTAATCTCATTGAGAAGAATTCCTGGTAATTGCCTGCTTATGCTTCCATTTGCGTCTAAGTGCTTTTATCAGTATTAGCCAAAAAAATAACTAATACCATCAACATACTACGACCGGGTAAAACACCAAAACCAGCCCTAAATCTGAGCTGTAATGGCCATTACCGACCATATGCAAATAAAAAAAAGTTAAAAAATCAAATAAATTTATATTATTATATGTAAGAGGATGATTAGCATGTAATTCAGGATCTTATTATAAGAGAGATGTTAAATATTATTAGCATATAGGTCCCTCGAGTTATAATAATTAACTAGAAGGCCCCCTATTGTTAACTTTGCCAATAAATGTTAATAACCATCAATTTCAATGAAAAGATATTGACTCATCATGTACAAGACATAAGCACAGCTATTCTCAAGAGCAATGGTTTGAGTCTAAGAGATTCTTAAGGGGTAATGAAGTCCAAAACTTCACTATGTGAGCATGTGGGACCCATGCAACCGTATTAAAATCACAAGAAGCAACTCAAATGTCTGTTTAAGACTATAAAGTTCTATCTCCATATAATTAAAAATTATCTATAAATAGGCCTTCTTCTACTTGCAAGTATTAACATTAATAAATGACAAGTTGAGTCAAGCAAGCATTCTAAATAACAATGATTCACGTAGACGAAGGAGAGGTTCAAAGATCATAACCCACCAAATTCTTAATTTACATAATCTTCAGTATTGCATCAAAAACATCATGGTGTACAAGTCCAGAACTACCATAAATTGTGTATATGTAGAAGAAATAGCAAACACAAACAATAATTCATTCTTTGCAAAATAACCTTGAATAAATTAGTGAGTGAACATAAGCGAGACTTAATGGTCTAAAGAGCACTGACCGCTAGAATTGAAGCTGCACGAGATTCTGCTGAATAAGCATCAATGTATTCAAGTCTTTTATATATCTGCTCAAGTCTTTTTCCAATGGCATCCTTATCATTCCCTATGAGCTTCGCATCTTTTGTCCCCATCTCTGCTTCATATTCAAAATCCCTCTTCACGATGAACAGAAATGGTTAATATCTTTATGTTAGGAAAAGCAACAAATCAATTTTCAATGAAAACTGATGAGAATTGATTGTACTAGTACATAAGATAAATGAATAAAAAATGAATCAGGAAACAAAGTAATATATACAACAGACTGAGAAATAAAATGGTGAAAACATAGCAAATACCTGTTGGGCAAGTAGACTAGCTTCTTCTTCCAACAGCTGAATCCTCTCAATATCAGAATTAAGAACGCACTGCAATGCTGAGGTATCATCACCAACAACTTCTTGTTCTACATGTAGAATTTGACAGTTCCTTGGGATACCCTCGATTGCATGCAAGGCCATATGCCTCAGGAAGGAAGTTTTACCAGTACCATTTCTTCCAACAAGACCTGAGTAAAAACATCAAATGAAAAACTAATGTGCGGATCTTCATACAGGTAATATCATGTCAGTTTATACAAAAGATATAATGCAGGGAATGTAAAATATATCTGATGAATCCTCAGCGTTTCCAGTCCTCACAATTTCAGAAATTACCTTCTACCTGTCCCCTAAATATTGACACAATTATAGATAACATGTTTTTCTAAAACACTGAAATGCATATCTGGTACAAACGATTCAGGAGTTCTATGTTATTTTGAAATGAATAGCGTAAACCACATGCAATAATCTTCTCCGTAATTTTCATCATCTATTTTTTAAATTTCAGATTTAATTAGCTTTTCTTCATGTAACACCATTATCCAAATTGAGAGTTCAGCTGATGTAAAACATTACATGCGAAGATGAGTTGCTTAAGGAAGTTTGCACGCTTAATTGTTAGAACACAATAATGATAAGCTTTATATTGGTTTTGAGCGACAAAAGAAAACACAATGAGCGGTAAGACAAGTTTAGGCTAAATTACATGCATAGGAGTTAAGATAGTAAAATAGCCAATTTAATCTAACAATGCATACATAGATGGTTTCAACAATAAATCTCAATGCTAACAATAAGATTAGTCTCCACAAGAAAATCCCTCAATCATCTTTTCCAATTTCTAGGCGTTAGCGGAGAAGTATTAACAATATTTTCATAACTCCACAATAACCACAACCGAGGGGTAAACTAGGAAAATAAGAGACTAAGAGGGAGAGTCTACCCAGAGAAAGAAGTTCTACGCAGCTCTGGTGCTAGTCTGCAGGTTTGAGAGGACGTAGACAACAACTGGCGGCTTCTTGGGTGGCTGGACAGCAACAAATCCTTGTTGGAGTCTTTGGACAGCAAACAAGCGGCCTGGGGCAGATTCCGAACAGCAGCTTTTGGTCCTCATGGATGCTGGACAGCAGTTTTCTTGACTCCCAAATTCTGGACAGCAAATTACACCAACTTGGAATGCTGGACAGCAACTGGATAGCCAGGGACAGCTGCTTGGAAGGCTAGGAACCCTTTGGACGGATCACAGGACTTGCCCAGAAGCTTGCGCAATAGCTTGGTGAAAGAAAAAAATCTCAGATTTCCAAGGAAGGGGGCAGGTGACTTGGGTGAGGGATGAAAAGGATTGATAAATGGGGGGAAAGGAAAAATAATAAACCTGAAATTAATTTCAGGTTTCAAAGAGGGTGGAAGGAATCAATTTGAAATTGATTTCAAATTTCAAATAGATCTTAGGGGAATTAATGAGAATTGAATGGGAGCCCATCATGATAGGGCCGGCGGCATTGAGAGAGAGGGAGGGATTTGGGGAGAGGTTTTGTAACTTCCAAATAAATTTATGTCATTTAGGAAAGAGAATGACAACTCAAATCCAATTTGAAATTCAAATAAACTTGGAGTTATGCACTTTCCTAATTTAGATTTGTAAATAAGGAAAGTTTTTGAAATTTGAATTTCAAATTTCAAATTGAGGCAAGTGAATAATAAATCCAATTTGATTTATTTTGAAATTAAATTCATGATTGATACTTTCCTAATTTGGGATTCCCTATATGGAAAGAATTTGAAATTCGAATTTGAATTTCAAAAGAATTCAAATTTTTCCTCTCACGCTTGAGCTAAATTAGGAAGTCATTATGGTGATTGAGTTCAACATAATGAGGGGGAAATTATGAGGGGGGCCGGTGGCAAAAAAGGGGGAGGAGGAGATGGCGTCGGGTGAGGGGAAAGGGAAGGCTTGAGCTGTCGGTGGGAGCTTGAGGTGGTGGAGCTAAGGAGGACTTGGGGAGGAGGGGATGGCCGGTGGTGGATGGAGAGGAGGAGAAAAGAGATGAACAAAAAATACAAATAAGATAAAAGTAAACTAACGAACCCAAAGAGATCGTAAGAACCGCGAACCTTGGACTCTTCCAAAGATTGACGGGTATTGCAAATCACCCTCCTCGGGCTTCTCCTCTCATGAACTCACTAAGAGATCAACAAGAACAAACTCTTTTTCATTCAATAATTCATCAACTTACATGAAGTGGGGAAGGCTTTAAATAGCCAACGGAATAAAGAAAATACAAAGACACAAAGGCAAACACATGACAAGGCCCTTAAGCAAGGGCATAAACGGAAAGAAATACAATAGACTCATAAAACATAAAACAAAATACATTAAATACAATAATAATCAAAAGTAGATCGTGACCGTAGACCATTGATCATTGATCTTCTGATGTCCTCATCATTCTCCCCACACTTACAGAGGATTTAGAGGTGATTCTGGAACCCTTAGAGTTGATGGGGGTTCGTCGGAAAGAAGAGGGAGCAAAAGAAGTGTTGATCAAGTGGAAGAATCTTCGATTGTAGGCTCGAGCTCGAGCTCGAAGTTCGATAAGCTTGGCTCGCGAGCTCGTTAACGAGTCGAGTTCGAGCCGGCTCATGAGCCGGCTAGGCTCACTTACACCCCTACGTGGGAGCCATACGAAAGGGTGAATCAGCAGTTTCCTAGTTTTCACCTTGAGGACAAGGTAATTCTTTGGGAGGACGGTATTGATATGGCGGTTCCACTGGAACCGTCTATTGAGGTGGTTCCTTCTGAACCAGCTCAGCCGGCCCCTCCTGGGCCGGCAATTGTTTACAAAAGGAGGCAAAACCGCCTCCTTCCTTGCCTAAATCAGATTGCCGCCTATGGGTGGGGTCCATAGGATTTGATTTTATTTGAAAATTATTTTTAGGAAAGAGTTTAGGAGGTGGAAAAGTCTTTAAATAGGAGAGGTATGAGGAAGGGAGGGGCATGCTTAGATTGGAGTTTCTCTTGGAGTCTTTTGAGATTTGAGGGCTCTAAATCTTGCGTCTAGAGATTGGGAGAGAACGATCCTCCTCTCGAATAGAGGATCACTTGTATGATTGTATCTTTCTTTATGTGTGTTTTGCTTTGCTTCCTTAGTGCAATCTACTGTTTTGTGGCTGTTTTCGCACATATTTTGATTATTTTCTCGATGTTTTCATCCAATTAGTGATAGGTTTGCTTGCAAACTCAAGTATTCCCTTAGGGTTACTTGCAAACTCAAGTATTTCCTATCATATCTACCATTCGCTTGACTAACAGAACATGACACAGAGAGATACAACTTCGGACTAAATAAATGAATATAAAATATATCCGGGTACTAGCAATACTGGCTATTTACTAACTTGTAAAGAGCATACATGGAGTAGGAATTACGGTTAAACCTAAAGAGTGGCAACTTACCATAGTGTCTTCCAAATGAAAGGGTCACCGAACAATCTTTAATGAGATCACGACCACCAACAGAAACAGTGAAGTTCTCCATATGAATATCCTTGATAGCTGCCCCACTTTCACTATCATGATTAACACATACAACAGGCATACCTTCTTTAATAGCTTCCATCTCTGCCAAATGCATTTGATATTGGGCCTGAACCACAAGAAATTGGTCTACAATGCATTAAGTTTGATGAGAATCAATAAGCGGGTTGCGGTTGCAGAAAAAAATTACTAGCCCCCAGTTTGCTTAAAGGATGTTTTACTGAATTGTAAAGAGACTGATTATTTGGCTTAATGGGAATAGGAAATCAAGACTCCAAATAATGAGATATAGTAGGATAGGAATTTAAGTACACACACCTCTCTTTGTCTCTCCTCTTTCCTCTTTCTTCTTTCTATCTTTGCACGATCACGCTCAGAAAGTATAGGTCCTTCAAGAGCCTCTGTTTCTTTTTTGGGAGTTACATCTTCATCCATTCCTTCGTACATTCGCACAGGTGTAGCAAGGCTTCGCACAGCCAGCTTAGGTTTTGCCAATCCATGTTTGCCAAACTTCTCTGACAGCTTATTGCAGACCTACATGTTCCCAAATACGGGACAACGAAATATAAAACAATATGCACGCAGCATAAGGAAATGAGCAAAATCATTCATCCTCCACTAAACTGAAAGTGCTAGCTGGCGTAAACAACAAATTTAGATGATTCATATTATCAGAAAAATGGGAAACCACGCCATTTTAAGCCGAGAAAAACTCAATTTAGAACAAGTTTCTAGATGCATAACATGGAAGTAAAATAACACACCAAAAGCAGGATAAATATATACTTTACAAGACTATTCTATAAAATATAATTCTCGTTTAAAATTGAAACATAATCTGGCATCAAGAAGCCAATAAAAGATGAATACTTCACAGCGCCAGTAAAAGGCAAGGCACACCAATTAAGCCATATTTAACTCAATATACACAAATTGTTCAACTGTAGCAGGCAAACCAATGCAGCCAGACTCCACGACAAAAAATCATGTAATGAAGCTAACTCCATTATCATTGATCATTACAAAAAGCGTACAGAGGGGAAATCACGCAGGAAAAGATGATCAGCTACGCCAAAACCAATGTGATATGGATAAAAATTCTAAGTTTTTATTTTCTAAAAAATATTGTAGTTGATTTATATCATTTGATTAGGAATTTCGTATTCAATGCCATTAAATTTGTTAGCAATTCATTAGCAATTTATTATCAATTTATTGATTGTTTGTTAGTTCATTAACAATTTATTAGTGCTTTATTCATCTATAAATTTGAGAATTCTAAATTATGTAAGATAGTTTACGACATCAATATAATTCTTATTTTTATGGCACAAATAAAAATCTTAATCTATTCCAAGATTTTGATCTTTGGTAAACATGAAATAGACTATCTCCCCACAGGCAAGAGGCACACTAATCTTATTACTTTTCCTAATTTTCTCTTACTTTTATTCTTTATCATTTTTCATAGAAGTCCATTAAATTGGTATTAGTGCTAAGATTTTCAGTTCATTCCATATGCAGAGTTTTTATTTTGAAAGTACATTCCATTAAGGTGTTGAACAACTTCATCACCTTCATTAATTTCTTTGTATTCTGTTAATTAGTTCTCTAATTTCCTCTTTCCATCCACCCAAAGACCTTCATTTTACCATGCAAAACTCACCCAGCTACTTCTCTTCAATGCACACGCCTCAAGACAAATTTGTGAACAGTAAAATTATTGTTTGCTTGAACAAAAGCATCAATTTTGTGCGGACACTGAATAATTGGGTGCTAGGGAAAAAATCAGAGAAAAATAAAATAAGAGAGTTCAAATCAAGGAAAAAAAGTAGAGACAAAACAAAAGAAAAAGGGAAAAAGAATGAAAAGAAAAAGGAAATCCAACTAGATTTGACAAATCAATTCTGAATATCTAAAAAAGTAATTAAAATCAGTATAAAATCTCTAAAGGAAATCCAACGATTCTGGTATAAGATCTTAATTGGAAGTTCAAAATAAAATTGTGTCGATTAGTGAAAATTGTGGCATGAACAGGTCAAGCTTTGGGAAGCTTCACTGAAATAATTCAAATCTTAACGCCTGCCTTTACTCATGTTCATACCCACTAAAATAAGATTATTTTTTTAAGTTAAATATGCTAACAACCGCATGTTACAACAAATAATTAGTTGACTTTGTGATCATGACTCTTAAACTTCATTTATAAGTAACAAAACTTGAATTATATATGCAAATACATTCTATTGTCAGCAAAGTAATTAGCATAGCACTTCATAAAAGTTGCACATCTGGTTAGGCACCTCATCTGACATACATACATAACATTTTCATTACATTTTAAAAGAATCATAATGTAATCATGACCATGGATACATCTAATAAAATATTTAAGTCCATTAGTGATGATTTTGCTAGAAATGTTGAAAAATATCAAAGCTTGTTTAATCTCTTATAGAGGATAGGAAGCACAGAAATTGTCATGATTCACATTATAATAATGTCTACATTGATATGGCCGTGTCTCCACTTTTATTGGTCCGTAAAATTCTAACACTATGTTGGATTGGTTAGTTGATTTAAATAATATTTTCATAAACTATTAAATGACTAATGAAAGGTGTATTAGATTTTCTTATGATAAATTGATAGGTTCTCCTCAAATCTTTTGATCAAAGGTTCAAAATGATAACAATCATATTACTACACGAGATGGGATGAAAAACAGCCTTAAACAAAAATATTTTTCATCAAAACATTATATGCAATATGTTAAACACCTTCTAAACCACAAGAAAAAACTCTTAATGCGATGAAATACTTCAAAATATATAGATAATTATTCAAAACATGCTACTTTGTTGAAAAAATAATAAATTACAAATTACTGCATCCATATTCATTTATGATCGCAAAGAAATATTATGGAGGAACAAAATCTTTATTATCATGAGATACCTCTAATACTCCATTCCTTGATGACCTTATAATATCACAAAAGTCAAGCCTGGTGTTATTTAAGAAACAAAAACCTATGAAATCTCAAACCATCCTCCTAACGTTGGAGAATTTTTGTATCCTCGAACGGATTGCATATTTTATAATCGGGCACGGCATAAGAATACGATATATTACCCCGGAGGCCTCTACTAGTCCATTCCTTGATGACCTTATAATATCACAAAAGTCCATCCTGGTGTTATTTAAGAAACAAAAACCTATGAAATCTCAAACCATCCTCCTAACGTTGATGATGTGAAACATATACATGGAAACAAGAACTGCTTGGGGATTTTAATATAAAAGTTTTAAAACTTTGCTAGTTATAGAATTAATGCTTACTCAAGTTAGGCTTTCAGAACTATCAAGTAGAAATTATGCAAGGCATGCGGTTACAACTAGAATAACATGGTACTCTCAAATGAACAACATGAAATAAATAAGACAATGTTATGGTTAAGAAACAAGAATCCACGGTGAACAAATAGATCTCTTCACCTTGGGTCCCTCACTCACTCTCTTGTTGGTGGCACTTTTAATGGAGGAAGATTGAGAGCAACCGAGCGATGCCACTAGGAGACAAATGGCGCCCAAAGTGTAGTCCATTGGAGAGGTAGCCGGTGGCGGGTAGTCCACGGGATGACTAGCGAGCATCCAACGTCCGGGAAGAATAGGCTCCTCGATGGAAGGTACTAGCGTGAACAAGATGCGATTTAAGTAATCCTCCACGGAAGAATCCACGTCAAGGTCTACGTCGAAGAAAGGGGATTCAAGGATGTTGGTTCGTCCTTGATCATCAAGTAAGAAACCATGGTCGACTTCCGGATCAGCCATACATGATGGTGGTGGTGGTTGGGAGAATCTCTCTTGAGCTTGGTGAGGAGGAGGTGAGGAGATAATGGGAGAAGACTTAGGAGGGTGAGGGGTCGGCTATGGGTGGAGTTATTTTGGTTGAAACAAGTGATTTGGGGGACAAAAAGAAGAGAGGGAAAATCTGAAGTTTTAATTTCAGATTTTCCTTAATGGAAGAAGCTAATTTGAAATTCAAATTAACCCAATTAAGGGATTAATGGGGCCGGCGATTATTAGGGGATCAGGGAGGGATTAAGGTTGCTTAGGTGGCAAAGTGAGGAGAGAGAGGGGAGAGGGAGGGGAGAGGGGTTTAGAAGTAAGAAAACTGAAATTAATTTCAGCTCAAGTGAAATTGGAGGGAGATTATTTGAAATCAATTTTGAATTTCAAATAAGGGGGAGGGGCATTGAATGAGCATTCAATGGGAAACCCCATTAAGGGGCCGGCGGCATCAAGGAGGAGGAGATTGGGGATGAAGGGAGGGGGGTTTCCAAATGTGAAATGATGACTAGGAAAGAAAATTATTAAATCCAATTTGTTTTAATTTAAAATTGGATTCAACATAAAGAACTTTCGTAATTTGGATTTCCCAATTTGGAAAGAATTTGAAATTCGAAATTTGAATTTCGAAATGATGGCTAGAGGAAGGGAGGGGAGGTGGGCGGAAAGAAGAAGGTTGGTGGCAAGGTGGCCGGCCGGTGGTAGGATTAAGCCGGCGGCTTGGGCTCCTAGGGACGGCGGCAAGGAGGTGGGGGTCGGGTTTTCCAAGCCAATGGGTGTGGTTGTCTTCTCTTGAGGTGAAGGGGGGAAGAGATTGGTGGAGAAGAAAAGGAAATCGAGAATCACAAACCTCACACTTCCCACTATAACTCACAAAGAAATCTAAGAGCTTTCTTCTCAAGAACTCACAAAGAGATCTAGAGGAGTTTTGGAACTCACAAAGAGATCACCAAGATAACTTTTCATTCATCAATAATCAATCCTCTTACATAAGAAAATGACCATATATATAGTCCTCAAAATGACAAAGAAAACAAAAGACTAAAATGCCCCTTGGGCTACAATAACGGCCAACTACCCATAAGGGCAAAAGCGAAAAAACTGAAAAATAAAATAAACTACTACATAAAATGACTCAAAATATAAACTCATGCTCGTGGTCGTCGATCTCCGGCGTCTCCCATGATACATGTGTCGAAATTTCTGACGATGTCCTCATCAGTTGACTTCAAGAAAAATAAAGATTATCAAATTAAGAATTATAGTTTTAATGCACTTTACCTATCCTAAGACTGCACCTATTTTTGAACTTGAGACCAGACATTAGTATGAGTTTGACATTGAATATGACAAATCACCAGTTCTTCACCAAATTATTATTCTAACTCAAGAATTTCTTCTTCTTTTTTTTCAGTTACAAACCAAAAATCTTTAAAGAGCATTTTGAACTACAATGACAATCAGTCTTATGTACTGTAATGAAAAGGTGGAAACAATTGTTTTTTAAGAAAGCAAGTTACTTAAGCAATAATAATTTTGCACATTAATTAATGACGATCAAAAAAGCTATCTAGAAACTTGAAATTTACATTTGCCTGAAAATGAGTTTATGCTAATTCTATCATTAAGAAAAATAGTTGGTCTCATTTTGAAATTATTCCAAGTCTATTAATTAAACAACT